CAGTCACCCTGGCTTGAGCTGCAGGCACAGGGCTCTATTTCTGACCAGCATCAGAGGACCTGCCAGGGTTTTATTTTGTAAAATAACAAACACATTTAAAATACAAAATAACAGCAAGGCCGTGGTCAATGAGGCAGAAATGTTACAGTCTCACCTTGACACTTTAAGTGATGCTGCAGCTGCCAATATTGCTGCCCCAAAACCCTGTACCGTGTTGGCTGGGCTGTGTTAAAATAAAAAACAAGGTCACATTATCTGTGCCTGTGTTCTTTGATTTTCTGCTGCCTGAGACCACAGTCTGAAGCTTTTTTTTTATTATTATATTGTAGGAGACAAGTCTTTTGCTCATCTGAGTTTTGTCCTTCAGCTACAATATGTTAAATTTGATTTAAATTACTCCTTTCTTTTTTGGCTCTCATACACTTCCTTGATCATTTGGATTTCTGTGCCAGTCAAGGCCAGCTCGTGCTGAGCACTGAGAGGGGRGATCACACCTCGATGTGCATTTTGCCCTGCATTTTAATGCAAAAGAACCAAATTGGAGACGTCACACACGAGAGAAAGGGCACAAAGGGATCTCACAGCATCACAGCTCATACCCACCCGGCTTTCTCTGAGACACACAYAGCATATCACCAATCAAACATGTTTATCCCTGGCTGTATGAGCTCCTACAGCCCAAGATTTGGCAGGAAAATCTGAGTTTTAGCTCAAAAGTATTGTAGGGCCAACATTACCCAAAGGAAATAGTGCAGGTAGTGCAGAACTGAGGAGCTGATGAATTTTGAAAGAAATAACCTGTCTCATGATCTGGTGGTGCACACCCACAGTGAATTCTGCTTCAGAGAAACACCACCTCTGGTTGGTTGGGTTTTTGATTTTTTGTGGGTTTCGGTTTTTTGGAGAGTTTTTTTGTTTGTTTTTTTTTTGTTGTTGTTTTGGGGTTTTGTTTTTTGCTTTTTGGGTTTATGTTGTTTGTTTTTTGGGTGGCGTTCTTTGGAATTTTTTTTTGTTGGTTTGGTTTTTTTTGTTCTGTTTTTTTGGGGCTGGGTTTTGGGTTTTTGTTTTTTGGTTTTTTGGGTTTTTTTCTATGATGCTACTTTTTTTCCCTCCAGATGATGCATACTTACTACAGGGGCTCAATATTGAGGAGCTCTACCCAGAGACTTCTAGTTTCATCACGTATGATGGGTCAATGACAATCCCMCCCTGCTATGAAACAGCAAGCTGGATAATAATGAACAAACCTGTCTACATAACAAGGATGCAGGTAAAACAATTTASAGCTTACTCAAGCTAGGATGGGTACAAAATAATATTTAAAACATAAAATTTATAGCTTTACATAAAAAATGAGATTCAATCCTTTTGCTGTAGGGATCTCTGCATCAAATTTATACAGTTTGCAAAAGCACTGAAGGGTTTTTCTTTCGTTAAAATTAAAATACTTTGTTAAAATAAAAATATAATAAATGTTAAAATAAAAAATGTCACAAAATAATAAAAATATTATTTTGTTTAAACTAATATTTTGTTAATTTCTTTTTTTGTTACAATTAAAATATTAAAGTAAAAKACAGACTTTGAGGGGGATCCTCTATTTTTTGGGAGGTTTGAATCAAGTGATTTCCAGCAGTCTCCTCAGAGCTGAATTATTCTGTGAACAGTTATTTGGGAATTCTAAAACAAACATAACTGAGGTTATTACGGATAACAGAGGCCATTCCTAGGTCTGAATAGATAAGTGTTGATGGCACATTAATGTGACAGAGATCCAGAGTCTGGGGCCTTCTGGAAATGAGATCAGCTGGTGCTTTCTGGAACGGAATAAAGGATTTTACAGGATGGAATTACAGGAAACACACCACAGATACCTTTGGAAAAATCAGATGGACATTTKGAAGCCCCTGTTAGAGAGAAGAAGGACAAATTATGGCAGAGAAAACACAATTTCACAGTCAGAACGATGCTGCTGAGGAAACACACCCGTGGAAAAGTCCAAAATCCACATTTCGGTACAACTCACAGTCCGAGGCCTGGCATCAGAAAACAGCAAATTTAACAGCAATTGCCCTCTTCTGCAGAGTTTSCATCAGTGAGCTGCTGACAGAGCTGTGAGCTGAACTAAAACCTCCTCTCCTGTATGCAGAACCCCAAGGAATACTTGAAGCACCATCTGCCTGCCCCAAGCAGGCAGCAGAAGCAATCTGGCCTGAGAAATGAAATGAGGAATGATAAAACAACCCTAAATACAGCTTTGGGATTTAAAATCCTATCAACATTGTAAATAAGATGACTTTAAAAAGCCTGAGATGTTTTATTCTTGCGATATTCCTTCTGTCCAGTTCAGTCTGGAGGCAGAGGAAGCAATTTGTTCCTTTTGTAAATGGGTGATTTGGGAGAATGACACAGCTGAGCAGGGGCAAACATGCTGAATGTTGGGAACTTGTCAACCACAGGACCTGAATATTTTCCTACAAACATCATTTCTAGGTACAACATTAATGTACAAAACAAGGATTGGAATAATTCTGGAGTCTGTGCAACCTGTGGGTTATAACCTCATGGTATTTGCTCCTCGTCGTGCTTTAATGATTACTCACATCCTCCATTAATTGTTAGTTACATCCTCCATTATTAGAGCTGCAAATGGATTTTGCAGAATATTTACCAATGACATTGTGGATCAGACTGAAAAAGCAATGCCCAGTTTGAGTTTTCTCTGTGAAAAACTCCCAGAATATAAAACCCAGCTGCTGGATCTCCCCATGAAATGCCACAAACAAACCTTTCAAACTCTATGCTGGTATAGAAAATACTTTCTTTTTTTTATTTTAAACTAAAACACCGAGGATTTCTGGTTTATAATTTAAAATATTTTCCCCCCTCTCTGGTTTTGGTTGACTTGAGCCAACCAAGAGTCGCAGAATCGCCGTGAGAGCCGTTCCTGCCAGGCAGTGCTGATGGCACAGGAGGATCCGTCACTCCCTCTGTGCTGTGGAAACACCTCAGGAGCATCCCAGTCACAGCACAAACACMAAATCCTGCCAGARMTGRCAGCAGAGAGAGCCTCTCGYTTTTAACATCATTAATTYCATTATTTCAGCAGCYTCTCTGCTCAGTTTGCCTTCCCACCCTCCCTGCCCCTACCTGGGGCTTCAGGAACACAACCAAAGCCGTGGCTGCTCAACCAAAGCCGTGCTCTGATGGCACAAAACTCAGGAAATCAGCTCTTGTCATTCATCATCTGATTTGGTTTGCACCAGCTGCTGCCATCCAGCACTGTTCCCTTTGTTTTCTGCTCAGCCAATTTCCATTTTTCTCCCTCCAAAACTGGTTCCTCTCATTTAAAATTGGGCTCAGAAACAGAGGAGCTCACAAGGAATGGTTTTAAGTTCTCTCTTCCGGCCTACAAACTGTCAGAGTTAACTGAAGTTCTGTTTCACTGAAATTCTGTTTTGCCAAAATTCTGGTATACTGAAATTTTTATTTCACCGAAATTCTGTTTCACTGAAATTCTGTTTCACTGAAGTTCTGTTTCACTGAAGTTCTGTTTTGCCAAAATTCTGGTTTACTGACATTGTGTTTCACTGAAATTCTGGTTTTTTGCAATTCTATTTCACTAGAAGTCTGGTTTACTGAAATTCTGTTTTACTGAAATTCTATTTCATCAAAATTCTGTTTCACTGAAATTCTGTTTTACATAAATTCTGTTTCACAAAAATTCTGGCTTACTTCCATTTATTAACTAATCTATTTAAGAGTGTTTCATGTTGTTTACTTACAGGAAAGCTCACTACTAAAAAAACCTCTTTTTTTGTGTGTTTACAGATGCATTCTTTACGGCTGCTAAGCCAGAATCAGCCATCACAGATATTTCTGAGCATGAGTGACAATTACAGGCCGGTGCAGCCTCTCAACAATCGATGTATCCGAACCAATATCAACTTTAGTTTACAGGGAAAAGATTGTCCAAACAATAGAGCACAAAAACTACAGTACAGAGGTACGTTTTCCCTCCAGGATATCCCTTCCCATGCTCACACTRAGCTCTTTTCTTTCAGAAATCCAAGGGCATCACGAAAAACACAAATAAAAACACAAAAAATGTGAGGTCTGGGGAGATAAACATGTCAAATGTCATACATTTAAAATAGATGAGGAAATGAGAAGGAAAAGCATGAAAAAAGCCAGCCTGGGAAAAAAAATCACTCCTGTTTTTAGGAGTAAATAGGACAGACCTTTTGTTTTCCAGCTTCATTTTAAAGTCTTCTCACCTTGCAAAGTGGGTTTTGCTCTGGTTTACTCAGCCTCAAAGGGGGATGAGCTGGTCTTGATGGCAACTGGATTAATATCAATTAACATCAAACAAAATTGTTAATTTATAAGGTTTAATTTCAATCCCAAGGTGCACCAGCATAACCCCTGAATTGGAAAGGTTRTGTCGAGCAGGGGGTATCAAACAAGAAAGGAGCTCATTTGCAGGTGGAGCTCTGCAAATCCAGAGTTTGGCTCACAAAAACGGGGCTGGAGTGCCCTCCCAGCAGGAATATCATCATTATGAAAGAGTGGCATTGAAGGTGGGAATAAAAGGACATTTTCATCAGCAAGGCAGATGACTGAGTTTCAATGTTTTAAAAAGCCCCAGTCTTTCAGGCTTAATTCTTCTCCAGGAAGAAGAAACCAAACCTCTTGGCTTTTTAAAGACATTTTCTCCAAATGCCTAACACAATGTTTAATCCATGTGATCCACAGTGTTAAAGCAGTTCCCTGTCTGAAGTTTATTAGACCATGATTGTGTTTAATCCATGTGTTCCAGGGTATTAAAGCAGTTTCCTGTTTGAAATTTATTAGACCATGATTGTGTTTAATCCATGTGTTCCAGGGTATTAAAGCAGTTTCCTGTTTGAAGTTTATCAGACCATAATTGTTGCTGTTTGTTTCTCTTGCAGTAAATGAGTGGCTCCTCAAGTAAGCGAGACAGAACGTGCAGAACCCAAATCCTCAGTGGAAAGCTCCTGCTGGGAATTGGCATCACCTGCAGTGCACCCAACCTCCCTCTCTGGGTTCACCAMGTGCTGTGGGCAAAGAGCTGCCGTGCTGGGAACTCCTCCAAATTCATTCGTATGATGGGTGGCCATTTCAAAAAAAAAAAAAAAAAATAAAATAAAATATAAAATAAAAAAGACAGTATTACAGTAAATGTGATTACGATTTTCCTGAACTAATTTAGAGTCACAAAGAAAGACTTTTCAGCCTTTGTACATATGAAATTCTTCCTCTTCTCCCCCCACCCTTCTCCCTCAGCTGAAAAAAAAAATTTAAAAATTAAAAAAAAAATTTAAAAAAAAAAAAAAAAGAAAGAAAAAAGGTGGCTCGGTACAGCATCAAAGTGGAGTTGTGTTCTGTGTGCCAAGTAATCCTTGGAAAGCTCTCATTATTTCACTACCATTAATGGATACTGACGAGACAGAACAAGACTACTGTAAAGGAAACTTATTTCTAGGTTATGATCTTTCTGTTAATTTCATTTTTAAAAAGAGACAGACTTTGAGAGATAAGTATTGTAAATATATCACTGCAGAATATAAAGGAAATTGAAATATTTCCCTCTGTCACATATCTGTAGTAGGATTTGCCAAAAGCAGAATTGATCCATTTTCTGTTTTTTGTTTTACAGCAGGTCATACGTTGTGTTGGTTACTATTAACAACTCAATAAATGTGTTTAACAAATTAATTTAGTAAAGTTGCTTTGATTTCTCTTTTTCTTTCTGAAATAACAAGCCTCTACTACTTGTGGCTGCATCCTTTGTGTTTTTCACTTTTTTCTTCTTTTCTTTCCTTTTTTTTCCTTCATTTCTTTGTTTGCAGCCCATTTAAGTGAGTTAATGACGATTGGGAATGCATTTAGAGCTGATATAACTTTAACTCCACTTTATGGTCCATCATTAACAGGAGCTGGACTCAGGAGCAGAGAGCACTGGAAGCATTTCTCAGTTTAAAATTGCCATTTTCCTCGCTGAAGCCATTACTGGGACAAACATTCAATCCTGTAAATGGGTGGTGAAAGGGATATTTTTTCTTTACAGATACAGCAGGAGCTGACCAAGTAAAAGCAAATGCCTTTTTTCTTGTTTATAATGGTCATTCACTGTGTTTGGTTACTGTCAAGAACTCAATAAATGTGTTTAACAAGTTCACACAGCGCACGTTTGACCTTCTTGAACATTGAGGGGATTTTCAGGTTGGGGTTTTTTCCAATCTGGAGAGGGGTCAGACCCCTGATATCCCACCCCTAATTCTCACTTTGTACCATGGGACATGCTGAATTTCACAGGAAATGCTCTGSCACCAAGGAATTCTTTGAAAAACAGGCACTACAAGAAATGTGAGGGAACAGCCAGGCAGCTTTAACATGCTCAAAAATGTTATTTTTGTTATTTTATCTGTGCCTGGAGGATGGATAAAATAACAAAAGTGCAAGGAGCAGCTGACAGGACAGTGCAGAGCCTGTGGGATTTAGAAAGATTGCAGCTTGAACAGTGAGAGCAGGACCAGCATTCAGGGGACCCCTAGGATGGAGATGGAAAATTGTGAGGAACCCAAAATTGTCAATATTCCAATTGCTGAAGGTGAGAAGGGCTGGCCCAGGGGTGCCCTGTGTGGTCCTGGGCTGGTGACTCTGGCCCAGGATCCTCTTGGCACAAACATAATCCTCGATCCTGGAGTTATTTCATTCCCAGGATCCTGTCAGCACTCATGTAAAGCACATGATTCTCGAGTTATTTCATTTTAAGCTTTCCAAACGGCTCCCAGCACTGTGCAGTGATCTGAAAAATCTACCCCACGACCACAGAAATGTCACACAGCCAGTATTACACTGCAGATCAATATCATCAAATTCTGCAGATGAAAAAAGCAAAAATAGGTTTACCTGGCTAATAAAAAAATTAAAAACAATGGAAGTCACATGCCTTCCATATTTTTGAATCATCTGTAACTTATAAACTTGTTTCCCCTACTTGTTTGGGGTCTGTGAGGATTCTAGGCTGCAGAGTAGTGTTCCTCAGAGCTCAAAATCCACAATGCATCAATCTGTGTGTGTGGACAAACATCCATCAGCTGCTGGGCCAAGTTTGTCAGTGACAGAAGAGGAAGATAAGCCAGGCCTCCATTATCAAACTTATAATAAGTAATAAACCCTATTTTCTGTTTTACTGGGAGCTGATGGGAGGGATTTAGGGCCAGGGAAAGATTTGACAGAAGGGATGGTCCTGGGGAGGAATCTGGACCACTGGGACACCACAAATATATTTGTCAACGTTTCCAACTCTGTTCTGCAAGCTGAGACTCCATTTCTTGTCGTGAATTTTGTAGGTTTTTATAGTGGATTTGAGTAGAAATAAAGCAAGCCAAAGTTTAGAATTAGGTGTTTGTTAGATGTTAGAAAAAATTCTTCACTGCAAAGGTGATCACACACTGGAATTGTCTGCCCAGGGGGAGGTGGAGTCACCATCCCTGTGTTTAAAACAGACTGAACRTGGCACTCAGTGCCTTGGTTTAATTGATGAGGAGGTGTTGGGTCACAGGCTGGACTTGATGTTCTTGAAGGTCTCTCCCAGCCTGATTAATTATCTGTAATTCTGTGTATCCTACTTTAAAGGGTCACTGTGTTGTATTGCGAAATAAAATATTATTTCACAGAAATATTATTTCACAATAAAATGCAAAACGTTTTTGCGAAATAGCTATTTGCTATTGCAAAAAGCAGACTTGTAGCAAAAAAAAGTTGGTGGTGCAAAAAGAAAAGAATAAAAAAACCCACATCCTATTGTACACCTCAAGGCTGGACACTGCTCCCAAAAAATCCCAGATATTTGGTTCCTAAACTCAAAACATGATAAATTTTTCACSGAGATAAGCTATAACTGCTCCATATTTTTTTWWTTTTTTTTAATTAGATTTTATTCCCCAGATAGAGCCGCTGACAAAGCAGGGAGAGTTTCCTGTAAGAGACTCTGATTTACTGGCAAATGGCTCGGCACAGTTCTCAAGAGCACACCGTAAAATTATTCCAGGAGCCTGTTTGTATGGCAGAGAACAAGCTCCATTTATAATGGGAAATGTAATGCAGGCAAACATTTGCTGTTTCCTCCAGTGTCAGGCTTCTATTCTGATAACTAAAGATGTGTCAAACACATACTCAGAGCAGAAAATGAAAAACAGGATAATAAATCTTCTCAGGACAGGAAAATAATGCTTAGTATTTCAATAGAGAGGGAGAAAAGAAAATCTTTAGAAGGAGTATTAGAGAAACAGTGAAAATGTTGATGCAGTTTATGAATTTTGGCAGATGCTCCCACCCTGTGAGGGGAGAAGGAGCTGGAACCAAAAGTAAATCTGAGGGGAGCACAGTTACAGCTGGAAAATGTTGTATTTGTCCCAGAAGGGAGGTCAAGGTTGGGAAATTCAGGTTTAGGGGGTTGTCCCAGCAGGAGGAGACAGCCAGGACCCCACAAAGTTCCCATTTCCTGAGGAATTCAGGGTTTGCACCCCCAGCACAAGTGCACAGACACCACGGAAATGTTTGGGGTTGGCCAAGGGAGCTGCAGGGTCGGGGTCAGAATGGCCTTCCCTGTTCCTTGAGGCCTTTCTGGATGAGCCAGAAGGATTTTGGGATCCCCCCTCAAGCGCTTTGTGAACTTTCCTCAAAGATTTTTTGACCCCTCCTCAAGGATTCCGTGACCCCTCTTCAAGCATTCTGTGAACCCTCCTCAAGGGCTTTGAGAACACTCCTCAAAGATTTTGTAACCCTTCCTCAAGGATTTTGACTCCTCCTCAAGGATTCTGTGACCCCTCCCCAAGGATTTTGTGACCCCTCTTCAAGCATTCTGTGAACCCTCCTCAAGGATTTTGCGACCCCTCCTCATGGATTTTCACCCCTCCCCAAGGATTTTGTGACCCTTCCCCAAGGATTTTGACCACTCCTAAAGGATTCTGCAAACCTTTCCCAAGGATTCCAAAAACCCTCCCCAAGAATTCTGTGRCCCCTCTTCAAGGATTTTGTGACCCCTCCTCGAGGATTTTGTGAACTTTCCTCAAGAATTCTGCAAAGAAAGCCCCAGAAAKGCCTCGTGCTTTGCTTCACTTGCTATCCTGCTGCACCACCCWTATTTTAGGGACACTCCCTGGAAGTTCATCCCTGCCCTAAAGGATTCTTGTAGGAGTTTGTTATGAAAATGCCAGATTTAAAGTGCTGATGGATGAGAAAGGGATTGTAAAACCCACGTGGTAAAGAGGTGGGAATGTGTCAGCACGATGAGGAAATGTATTAATATTCCAATAGGAGATAAAAATCTTATGCAGGACAACGTAGAAAGTCATAAACACCGTGGCAGAAAACAGAATTTGGGAAAATCACGAGGGGAGAAGATTGATCTCTTCCCTCTGTCCTGAATTTTCCTCTTAATGATGCAGCAATAGAGCAACAAGCTGATTTCAGCTGGCTGCCTCCTTCCAGACATAATTTAAACTTGACAGCAATAGGAGTAATTGTGACATTTCCAGACATTGATGCCAAAGTTTTRCACTACTGGAGGCCTGGCTCATTAAACATTTATTTATATCAGTGTTCCACGAGCTGCAGAAAAACACAAAAATGGAACTCCATTGACAAACATTTCACCCAAGTGCTGCCCGTGCTCCTCCCTCAGGATGGGCRGCTGAGACACTGAAAATAAACCYAAATCACTGAAATTCTGCCTTCCTGCAGGCAATGGCATGTCCTGAAAACCTGTGAGCTATCAAAGGCAAACATCACCCTCTGAGAGCTCAAATTGGGCAGCCCAAAGTGCAGACCAAAGGGACTTTGGCTTTTAAAAGACTTCATGAATCCCTGCGTAATTCAGAATACAGAAGAAGAAGAATTGTGGAATAAATTCAGAAATTGACTCTTCCCCCTCCTCTTCATGTGTTGCTTGTCTTGCAAAGAGAGAGAACTTCCTCAGAGGGGAAAAMTCTCCCTGTCAGCGTGGGAAATGTCAGAGGAGGTTGTTGTTATCCCATGTTGGGTTTCTGCAGGGACCCTAAACGATCTCAGCTGAAATATCACAGCTGTGCCTTTTGGAAGGCTGATACAGCCAAGGAAATAAAGCAAACACAAAAAAAAAAAAAATAGTCCAACAAATAAACAAACCGAAACAAAAACAAAAACAAACAAACAAAAAAACTAAAATAGGTGGAATTCACCAAATTTAATAAACAGCTTATTTCTACTGATGATCTATTGTTCAACACTGTCTGTTTTTTCACCACACTGCAATAAGCATGCACAACCCTGTTGCTTTCAGCTCAGAGCCCACCCTCTCCTTCCTCCCCATGTCTTGCTCTGGYAGCTAATTAATTAGTTTAATTATTAGTGTGTCTTTCAGATTCTCCAGTTCCCAGGTATTTCCCATGCACAGCAAAAGAATTCCCATTAGGACGGGGGTGTGTTTTCCCACCAACCATTTCAAGCACCATTCTCTCATGCTGTAAGCAGCAATTAGTCTTATTTTTCTTTAAAAAAAAATAAATAAAGTTCTAACCTAGACAAAGGAGTTTGGCTCATAAAGCAGTCACAGCACTGCCTGGGTTCCCATGCACATGGAGAGGGCTGTGATCTTGCTACCCACATGAAATGGATGAGAAAAGAAACATCTCAAAGCAGGAATGAAGTTAGATGGTTAGACTGTACCAACTTGCTCCTTTATAATATTTTTTTGCATAATTACTGTGATTTTTTTTTATGTTTTATTATCTCTTCGATGTTCATGCCTCAGAATAATAGTATCAAGTTCTTTTTCCCATATTTGCTATTTAATTGCAGCTTTACAATAAATTTTCACAAGTTAATGAGAAAACTGCTTGTTTGGGGCATTTAGAAGAAAAAGTCCCACAAAAAAAATCATATTAATGTTCCTAAAATAATGGACTCTTAAGGTGAAGAAGGAAAATAAATTGAGATCACTTTCATGCTTCTCAAACATAAACACTGAAAGAGACAAACACAGAAAAAGAAACTTCTCCAAACTCTACACCCTGAAAAAAAGAAATATATTTTCCTTTACCAGAATTTCCCCGCGGTTGATTTACAAAGCAGAGGGCAGGAATAACGCTCCAGCCCCATAAATACCAGGGAATGACAAACAGGA